TTTCAGATATCTGCATAAAATAAATCATGTGACCCTCTTATCCTGCCTATTTTTATAACATTTAAGTGAAAAATTTATGCTAATATCCAACAAAAGTTAAATTTTATAGATTATAAAGATAACAATGACTTTCTGAAAGGTTTATGAGGAGCTAGAATATTGGAATTTATAATAATCAATAAATTAATGCCGAACCCTAATAGCCTTAGATGTTTGGAAAGGGTTAGAATCATAAATTTATTCTGGACAGTAGATCGTTTGGTTGATTACCCCCTACCCAAGTTTACACATGCTACTTAAAATATTCTTCTCCAAGTCTGTGTACATATTCAAATGAAATAAGAAAACTGAGACAATTATCTATATAACCCAGGCTTTGAGTTTTGTTTATTATTAAAAGAAAAGTTTTGGTGCGCGTTACCCAAAATTACCTCAAATCTGCAAAACAAGCAGTGGTGGTAATTCTTATAAGTGACACTTTGAATTTCCATTTTTAATCTCCAAGTTACTTTCCTGTCATATGTATTAAAAACAGTAACAAGCTTACTAAGTAACACTATCAGAAAAAAAAGTACTCCCCACTACTAATGTAAGAATTACAAAAAAAGTTTTAAAAATTTACATATTTATCAGGATGTGATGGTACATAATAGAATCTCAATTGTGCAGTGACCACAATTCTCTGTTTTACTTTGTTAGAAGCTTGATATTAAATATAAAATAATTATTTTAATAAAATATTGAAAGTGAAGCTATTTTGTTTCAAGTGTTCTTATACAAGTGTTTTTTATCCAACAGGAAGAAAGATGCTATCAAATTAGATTATGTGAAAAAGTCCCTCTATTTTACTTTACATAATGTGACACATAAAGAAAATCCAAGCAAATATCTGTCTTTAATTTCTCTAGTGTAAAAAAAGAAATATATTGTGTCTGGCAGAATGAAGCAGATGAAACAGCCTAGGTGAATTTTAAAAATGAGAGTGGAGGGAGAAATCAGATGCATAGAATGAGCCTTCAAAGCCACTCCAGCAGTAGGGATAAATAATTTAATAAACTCAACTTCATATTCTTTTTATCTCCCCAGTGTAATAAGCACATATTAAAAAAAAACTAAATTCATGAATACTTGTGAATACAATAGCAGCCAGCAGATAATGAAAATGCACAAAACAATGTATTTAACATGTATGTGCCTATCCTGTAACAGATACATTTTACCAGCTGAAAGTTACTATTGTTTAAATTTATGAACATGTAATTCAAATTTAAATTAGTTTTTTTCTGTATTCCTACATTTCTCAACATTACAGTTTCTCTCTAAACTTAATAAGGTGACTATTTACCCGTTACTTTGTGTTTTCCACATATGCAGGTGTTAAGGGACTATAAATTACCTAGGAAATAATACTTCATGAACAATGATTTCCACCGCTATTTCAAATAATAGTAAGTATTAATGATCACCATACTGAATTATTTTATAATCACTAGTAATGCTAAAATTTATCTTGTGGCATTTTTGGCATCTATACCCTAACTGATACATTTAAAATCAAAGCTGCCTAATAAAATAAGTAACAAAATCAAAGAGCCAAGTCAAAGTTAGATCTTAAAACCCCAAATACCATTCCAATGTATCTCAATCAGGATTTAAATCAGGAGCTTCTTGTATTCCCCCCCCCCCTTCATTAGGTCAGTTTTCTTCAATTGTCATTCTATTATTAGCTCATGTCAAAGATGCCTGCACAGTACATCACTGTAAACAATTATGCCTTTATGTTCTGAAGCAAGGTACACACAAAAGCTTTCATTCTAGTACTAACTGCTAAGATGATACTTAAATATATATTAAGTGAAACTGGTCTCAGTAGATTCATTTTATACACTTTTAGCATAAGTGAATAACTTCATTTTACACCATTTGTTGGTATTACAAAATCATTTGAAATAACTAGTTTAATGAGTCAAGTGATATCTTGAGAAAAAATTACTGTAAAAAACTTTGTTATTTCCACCGAACAACTCTAACTCCGAAGCCTAAATTAAAATCGACTTACACAAAAATATATGTATGGTATACAAATATATATATTTAACTCTTCTCCACTGGTCATTTTAATAATAAAAAAAAGTGCACAAAGGTTAGGAAAATTTCAGTATAGTTTAATTTTTCCCTTCAACCATAAGAGGTGTCTAAGATCACTCAGCTACAGAAGGCAATTCATTTCACGTGCTCAGTGTAATAGAAAATCACTGTGTTGCAGCAACAAGCAGTACTTGCACTAGAGTATTATTCCAGGGCGTCCAGTTCACCCTCCTTGATAACAGCGGGGTGGTGAATCTACATTATGTAAATCACTGTCAACTCCCTAAATCACTGTCAACTCCCTGAGTGAAGGGTGCTGAAGAAAGCAGCTCAGAAAACAAGTCCTGGTTCCTTGAAACCGAATGACTTCACTTCCCTTGAACACTCGGGGACTAACGAGTTTTTCAGTCCCTTTCTCACCATCCATTTTTCTTCTTCAAAGTGCAAATCGTTAGTGAAAAGACCCCAGTTACACCAATTAGTTTGCACAAAGTGCTTCGGTGTTTAGCGTCGCTTTAACCCAATTAAGCCGCACAGTGAGCCCGAAGATGCGCCACCTGCGCGCCTGGCTCTGGCGAGGCCCGCCCGGCGCCCCTCGCATCCTTCCCGCCGCACCCACTCGGCCGCCTCGCCGGGTCTCCCGAACAGTCCCCGGACGTCCACGCCCCTAGCAGCTCCACAGCCTCAACCCTCCAGGGTATCAGCAGGTGGCCCAAGAAGTCCGCGGGCGAGCGTTGGCGGAGCAAGTCTGACCTGAACCCCAGGGAAAGCGCGCTGGGCGAGAGGCGGGCTCCGGGCAGCGAGAAAGCGCCAGGCTCGGCGGCCAACGCTTGAGGGTCGGGGCGGCGGCCAGGGCTGGGGGTGTGGACAGAGATCGTGGGCTGGAGCAGACCTCGGGAAACCCGGGATGCAGATAAAGGTTTAAAAATAACCCGCAGCAGGTAAATCGTCAGTGGGGCAGTGAGCAGAGGGGAGAGAAGGGTGGCTCGGCGGAGGGGAGCGGGAGCATCCGGTGAGGGAACCAGCGGCAAACACTTGGGGACCTGAGCTGAGTGTGGGCCAGAGGTGTTTTTTCCCCAGAGACAGTAGCATAACATCTCAGCCTTCGAAGTGGCGGGTTCTCTGGCTGTGATTTCCCTCCCCTTCCTTCCACTGCCAAAAGGGAGCAGTGCGTTTACCCCTGACACTTGCAAAATGGGGAGGAGGGAGCGGTTCTGGTGTTCCCCACTCCTACCCCTAAGGTAATGGAAGTTCTTGGGAACTAGAGTAGATGGATGCCATTGAACCCTAAATCTAATGTACTTTTAGTAATATATTTTAAGCTAAATCAGAATCCATCACTCTTGGATATCGAGAAAGTAAATAATAGGTGGCTTTGTGATGCGGTACCAGTGCAAAACACAAATCAAAAACTTGAGTACAAAGTGTAAGGGCTGAACAGGTTCCTTTTAAGACTGGTTCTGACAAAAAGGTCTATATGCCAGTTACCAGAAACTATAGTTTTTTAAATTTTTTTTTTTTTGCTGAAAATATTCTCATTTGGAAATTAAAGACAGGGAATTAAAAACCTGCCTAGATTTTAAAACCACTGCATAACCCTAGGTGGTTATTTTTCGTTTCCTGTACATTAAAGACACAAGTAGTACTACCAGAAAAATTTTACACAAATCTGTTTCCCGCAGGTGTTTTAAAGTTACAACATTTAGAAATGTTGATTTCCCTAGAGAATCTCCAAAATTATATTTAAATTTAAAAACCTGGATGACTGTAAATTAATTTTCCTTTAAAATCTAAACTATTTCTCCTTAATCAAATCACATGAAATAGCATAAAATTATAAGTTTTCTGTCTGCTCACTACTTAAAGAGAGGTACTATAACCTTAATTATATATTTTTAAGCAAGTCAGAAACTCAAACTGTAAACCTTTTTGGGCCAATTATATGCCAGCGGGTCTCATCACGATAGCTCTCCTAAATTTCATGTATTAAAATACATAGTTCACTCCACACACAATAAAATAATGTCTCAATTACAGAAAACTCATTTTCAAAATGAGTTTTGAAAATACAAAATGTAGTGTCCTGTTTATTATGTTGTGTAAATCTACTAAGACACAAAGATAATTGCAGATGGTGGTGATGGGGTTGGGGAGTGGGTAGTGATTCTAACATTTTAGAAAACATCCCAACAGAATGCATTCTCAATAATTTTCAGATTCCTTCAACAATGGCAAATCGGGATGAGGCGGAAGCAAAGCGCTGTGTAGTGTTCAAAGAAATCATTCTAAAATAGAGGAACGTCCAGAAAAGGATACAGGTATTGGTCCCGCTAATGCCACCTTGCACAGTAAACTTTTAACCAGCATTTAAAAAGACCTGGAGGAATAACATACATTAATTATCTTACTCTAAATGCAAGTTAGTGACTTTTGTAGAAGACCCTATCTAGTTCATTAATTGATGGATGACCATTAATACACCTGCATTTGCATTTCCCCAGTAAAAAAGACAAGAAGGATTTTCAACACAGAGGAAAAAAACACTTTGCCAAGTCTTTTCAAAATGTCAATATGCTTCAAGTAATACCAAAGCTGAGCGTTTCCTCCTGATTTCCAAAACTGTCTAGGTGGCCTGGGTGATTTTCTGCAGCTAGCAGCCTACTACCTTTAGTTTGTGTGCCTATATCCGTAAGGGGGATTAATTAGCCGGATTGGAGCTCAAGGAGGCTGTTGTGACGAGCCCAGTGGCGATTGGCCGCCAGCCTGCCTGGCCCTGCCTTTATAATTTCCACACGAGTGCATCTGGGCTCTTAGACAAACCAACAGCAGCTTCTTCTGACATATACACACGCACACTCACCCCCAACACACACACTCTGCACACTTTTTCGTCCATCTGATTAACAGTCCTGCACACACAATGATTACGGGAAAGCGTAAATAAATACGGAAAGGGTTGATTATTTTGACTACTGGAGGAGCTTTGCTGGGTCTCAGCACAACTTTTGTTTTTATTACTGAGAAGGTAATCTCTCTAAGCGTTTCTCTCACACAAGGATTCTTTAAAAGAAGAAGAGAGACCAAGAGAGGGGGGAGAACAATCTTTCACTTTAAGACCGGCTGGGCTCAAAGATAAAAGGAAGGGGGAAGCAGCAGCTAGGAATTCACTGCTGCAGCACATCGGAAAGACGTTTTTTGATACATTTCTAGAGCGCAGCGGCCCGTTTCTCCACCGAAGTTGGCGCCAGCTCTAGCAGCCGCATTGGATCCCACAGCTTACTGCGAGACTCCGGTGTACAATCCGGATCTCTGCCCCAACATGATCGCGGCCCAGGCCAAGCTGGTCTACCATCTGAATAAATACTACAATGAAAAATGCCAAGCCAGGAAAGCTGCCATTGCCAAAACTATCCGGGAAGTCTGCAAAGTTGTTTCCGACGTACTTAAAGAAGTGGAAGTGCAGGAGCCCAGGTTCATCAGCTCTCTCAACGAGATGGACAATCGCTACGAGGGCCTCGAGGTCATCTCCCCCACCGAATTTGAAGTGGTGCTGTACCTTAACCAAATGGGGGTGTTCAACTTTGTGGACGACGGCTCCCTGCCCGGCTGTGCGGTGCTGAAATTGAGCGACGGGCGCAAGAGGAGCATGTCCCTCTGGGTGGAATTCATTACCGCCTCCGGCTACCTCTCCGCGCGCAAAATCCGGTCCAGGTTTCAGACACTGGTGGCTCAAGCGGTAGACAAATGTAGCTACAGGGATGTGGTAAAGATGGTGGCAGACACCAGCGAAGTGAAACTGAGAATCCGAGATAGGTACGTGGTGCAGATCACCCCGGCTTTTAAATGCACCGGGATCTGGCCGAGGAGTGCTGCCCACTGGCCACTTCCCCACATCCCCTGGCCGGGACCCAACCGGGTGGCGGAGGTCAAAGCCGAAGGGTTCAATCTCTTGTCCAAGGAGTGCCACTCCCTGGCCGGCAAGCAGAGCTCGGCCGAGAGCGACGCCTGGGTGCTGCAGTTCGCGGAAGCAGAGAACAGACTGCAGATGGGGGGCTGCAGGAAGAAATGCCTCTCCATCCTTAAAACCTTACGGGATCGTCACCTAGAATTGCCCGGGCAGCCTCTGAACAATTACCACATGAAGACTTTGGTTTCCTACGAGTGTGAAAAGCATCCCCGGGAGTCGGACTGGGACGAGTCTTGCCTGGGTGATCGGCTTAACGGGATTTTGCTGCAACTTATCTCTTGCCTGCAATGCCGGCGTTGTCCTCACTACTTTCTACCGAACTTAGATCTGTTTCAAGGCAAACCTCACTCGGCTCTGGAAAACGCTGCCAAACAAACGTGGCGCCTGGCAAGAGAGATCCTAACCAACCCGAAAAGTTTGGAAAAACTTTAGAGGACAATTTAATTAAGACCGAAATGTGATTACTCTTTTCAAAATTCTAATTACGTGTAAACTTCTTGTTCAGTCCCTAATATCCCACTTGACAATGCAAACAATCTTTCCTTAAAAAGGAAGAATAGTACAATGTTTAGGCATCATCTCACTCACCCCTCCAAGGGGAGAAAAAGAAGTAGTTGAAGCAGATGGAAGAAAACCCAAACCACAAGTATTAGAAGACTTCTTTACAAAGGATTTCATATCTCCCTTGAAAAGTACACAGTAACACCCGGAAAACAACTCCGCTGTAATGCAAGACCACAATGAACACTCTGCCTAACTATCAAAGGATTATAGCAATCCTGGTGATTTAGGTGCATCTGTCTGTGAGTAAACACGATTTGGATATGCCATCTGAAGGAAAGTGTAATGTATATTTTGATTTGTAACAAATATTGTGATCTCACATTGTCTTTGAAAGTGTGAATGTTGGTGTTTTGTGATTTGGTGAACAGAAGTTAAATTGCCATTTTGGATACTTCCAGACATTTTCCACAAACAAAGATACCATTTAAAGGTAGATTTCCTTCCTGGTACTTTCATTGGTCTTTGAAAGTGTCTGAACTTTTTAAAAGTTTACATTTTGTTTCAAATATATTGCTTGTTCTATTTCTAACATTCCATAAATATACTTGAAATGTTATTTAAATATATTCAAAGAAATCTGAATTCAGCTTATATAATAACGCTTGAATATCTGAATTATATATTTGAAAAATGCACTTGAAATACACTGGATAATTACTTTTGTGATTTAGATTTAAATTTCTGTTGCTGGTTTTTATTTAATTAGAAGCTAATAAATGAGTAAAATAAAGTTGTTGTGTCTCATTTTAAATTGCTTTTCTATTGAAAGTTGTAATGCTTTATCTTGAAAATTAAACCATCTTGAATATTTTAACATTTTAAGAGACATGGTAATGCAATCATTAAAAATGAAACCTTAAAATATTAAAGAGATACTCTTTTTAGTATAGAAATGTAGAAGATAGTGACTGAGTCTGCTTCTATCTGACTTAAGAGAATATTCCTTTCTACAACAGACACAAATTAAGTCTACCCTTTGAAACTGTGTTCTTCTGAGTTAGTATTAGCATTTTGATAACAGAAGAAAAAAATACATAAAAAGAGTGAATATTTAACTTAAAGAAGTCATAATGAAACTTTGAAATCTGTATATGAAAATTACCATGCCAATGAAATAAATGAAAAATAATCTCTACCCAATTTATGTCAAACCTTATTTTATACAGTAAGGGATGCATTAGCTGAATAATCAGGAATCCAAAATACAGTCTTTACTTCATGGGGGAAAATAATGATAAAAACACAGACAAATTTTAAATTAATTAAAACTAAACATACTACCCTCAAACTGATTTTTAAAATTCAGATCTTTTGAAGTTTAACATGAAAAAAGACCTATGACTATTCTTTAGAGTATTTTAATAGTCAACAAGTGCTGTAAAGCTTATCACCTTTGGGCCTTAAGGTAGGTAGTCCAGGTGTGGGTGAATTTTAGAATTTCAATTGCTAGTCTATAGTGAGTTATAGTGCCTTATTTCTACATAGAAATAATAAAGTTCTGGATCTATGGATTCCATTTTTTTTTCCTTGGCTATAATAATTGGTCCTGAAAAATACTTTAAAGGGAGATCTTTCTTTACAAAATGATGCTTGAGTGTCTACCATAGCACTCCTATTCTTGAATTTAAACATTTGCAAATTACATTGTAACATAAAAGTTAAAACAACAATGCAATTGATTTCAGAAGAAAGTGCAGAGGTGTACAGTTATTAATACTCAGATTTAAAAACAAAATACAATAAGCAAATATTTATGCATTTCAATTGTTCCTGATATGTGTTTTCTGGCACTAGCTCCACAGAATACAGCCTTCAAATACTTGGCTGTTTGTATACCCATTTTACATCAAAGCTTCTTAGAGAAACAGTTTCTTTCCCTCTTTAAGTTCATATGTAAACCCATTCTTATTTCAGTAGATGAAAAAATGGATGTAATAATGGAAATGAATTTTTATCTAAATGCCCCTCCCAGTTTCCTTATAACCTTTCAATGAATAATAATTCACATTGCAATCTACACTTTTGAAAATTAAAAGTGATCTTAATAAGAAATTTCATAAGATCTTTCCTAGTCTTTCCAGACAGCTTGAGATGCTGCACCCCAGGGACTTGAGAGCAATTGGCTTAACTACCAAATCTGCCCAAGTGCACACAAAGGCACTCACAGAGACTGCTAAAATGTGCATGCTTTGGTAATACAGGATTTAACATCGTTAATATAGTCTTCCATCCTATAAAATAGAGGACGTATTATTTCATTCATTTTATTTTCTATGAGAAAGAAGGGTTTGTACTCCCCTCCCCCACTGTCATTTAAAACCAAGCAAACATGAAAATCTTTTCCTCCCACAAAGCCACCAGTACTGTACATAAGATCACTGTGACTCACTTTCGTGTCGATCTTCTTGAAGGCAGGATCATCCTCATCTACCTCGAAGTAGATTTCTGTGGTTGTGATGGAGAGAGTCCCTTTGGCCACCACCACTGGAGCAATGAGCTGGGCAGGAGTGCTGAGAACCACTGGTCCTGAAAGACAAGGGGACTGGGCATCAGGTTGGAACCCCTGTGACCCTCTCGCTCCCTCCTAGAAGGGTACCATGGCATTTTATTTTAAAAGATGCATTAAAAAGTGCTACCTGTATTACTCAGCAAACTACTTTCACGTGAGATAAGGGCTGCTTAGTTTTAACACACTACCCTTTAATAAGAGGAGATAAATAACTTTGTAAAAATCCAAAAGGTCAAGATGCCTAATAAGTGATTCTTAGGACATGAGTTTGCAACCTCCACTTAGAAATTCTACATGGTTCCTGAGGCACTGCCATTAACCAATTTAAAAGTGCAGAGCCGATTATCAAAGAACCGGTTTTCCAGTGAGCACAGTCGACTTTTCCAGAGACCCTAGGCAGTCAGCATTGCCCCCAAAGACCAGACCTCACGCAAAGCCTTTCCACTAGGCATCAATGTCCCCTCCTCCGCCCAGGATGGGCAGGAGGATGTGAAAGGGTACAAGATCTAGATAAAGGGGTTTCCCCTGTACAAGCGGGTTTGTACCTTGCAATTGAATTGATATCTGCGTCCTAAGGCTCACCACAAACACAAATACACATACAAGCGGACGTTATTTTTCTTATGCAGAAAAGGAGGAAAATTGTGGCAGTGATTTTCTCATGGATAATTGAAATTGTAAGACGCATGAAAGAAAAACGATTCTCAGACAAGTGCCCGAAAAATGCTGTTTCTCAACTTTAGAAACGAGAGGAACTAAGCTTGGCGAAAGATTTTTAGAAAGTGTAGTCGGTCATTAAGGTGCTTATTTCCAATTCTCTCAATCTGGTATAAGGTTGAAAATTAAGAATTTAACGTATTAGAATTTTAATTAAAGCGATTACTTAATTGCCCCTTCAAGATTCCTAGAAGGGAAGGCGTTCTTTGCTATTCGGGACTTAAAAAAAATACTGGTGTGCAAATCAGAAATAACTGATTCCTGTTTCTGTAACGAGGGGGCATTATAATCCCTTTCATCCCACTCCTCAAAATGTTTCAAATCAGAAGAGTCACAATTACAGTAGGAGAAAGACAATGAAAAGGTGATTGTCCTGTGGCCATTCAGGCCTGGGACGCTCCTCGGCGGCTGAAGAAACGGACCCGCTCTCGCGGCCGTAGCCGCGGCCACGGCCACGGCCACGGCCACGGAGGGCAGGCCTGGTCCTCTCAGACACCAGGGCTGGAGTGAAGTTCGCGCTTCCTGGGAGTCGCACACACGGAATCCGAGACCATCCTTCACAAAGCTCCGCCGTTCCAGTCGCGGGAGGAACAGAGAGGAATCGACCTGCTTCGGTGCTAATGGGGCCAGATATTGAAGCAAACTGAGTGTCAGCGTCACTCTTCAGACCCTGATCATAACTGCCTGGCTCAGACTAACGCCAAGCCCCTTCTTTTATTTCGGTGCTCTCAATTCCCTAAGAGCCCGCCCTAGGGGGACCAAGCCCGGGGCGCGCCAACTCTCCGGCCTATGGCTCAGGCGGGCAGTTTCCGCGAAGAACAGAGCCGAATCGGGGTCTACCTCGACTCCATAAGGTTTTTCTTTCCAAAGGGCGAGGCGGTCGATCTGAAGCGCCACTTTAAAGGCTCATCAATCTTAATCTAGGTTGCTCAAGTAATTATGCCCGAATCTCTTGTACGATTACAAGTGGATTTGGGTTTCTATTCCCCAGGCCCTCCTTTGTGTTTATTGGAGGGTCTGTGCGCGCGCTCCGCGGCGCCTCCTGCCTCCCGCGCCCACCACGGAATCCCCCCAGCTCTCCGGCCGCTTCGAACTGTGCCCTTAACCCTTAAGTAACCAGGACGCTCATTTGGTTGCCACTTCATATTTGCCTTCTGGAGAAACCCAGGTATCCTTTATATTGAGGCAAGGTGAGAAGTGACTTAATTCACATCGGAGACAGTGCTCTTATAAATCGTTGGGCCTTGCTAAAATTTCAGAAAAGTCGCCATTCTGAGAGGTAGCGAATTCTTGTTCAGTAGAGGTTTCTAGCATTTGGAGAGGAAGAATAGTCAGAAGCATTAAAAATGGCGAACCGTTTCTTTAAAAAATAATTTAACCTTCAAACAATTAGGTCGGACATTTTTTTAAAAAAAATCACGAAACATTAACAATACCATACATACTGATGGAGATCTATTAAGAATTTTATATACACATTTCTGTGAACTTTTAACGGAGAACACATTTTCTCTACTTGATTCTCTTCGTTTTTGAAAGGGAACTGTACTTCCTTTTGATTTTCATCAGTCTCATTCCGTTGAGTTGAGATTCAGGGGGTTTCCAAAAGAACTTAGAAGTGGCCTTTCTTTATGAAAAGCACATCGTAAAATATTCAGTCTTATTAATGTGTCATTTTTACACTTGTCCTTTGGAAATCTCCAATTACAACTTCCAATTCCATAGCATGTTTAAAGAGCACTGAGTCTTTTTGTTGTAGCCTTCAGGGAGCAAACCAGCCACCGAGAGAATACAGAGTTAATCCACTCCAGCAATAGAGAGAAGGGATTAAGTTTTAATCCCCTTTGGGGGAGCCTCTGGATTTTAGGGATCTGAAATTAAAATGTTTACATAAAGCACAATCACAAACCAACAGATCTTTCATATGGGAGATCTGGTTATTTGAAAAACCTCAGATCTCTTTACAACAAAAAGTTTAAGAAGGGCAGCATCTCTGGATGCCAGAGAAATTGTGACTAGCTGTGTTCTCCAAGGTAACCTGTTACAAATTTAAGCTCTTAATTTTGGGGTGGTAAACTGGGGATGAATGTAGATATATTCATCATAATCACTGTTATAGCAATATAATGATAAATTATAAGAATGTCCTCAGCATGCAGACAAGTGATAGATAATAAAGGATCCTTTAACACAGAGAAGGGGTAAATCCTCCTGTAGTATTGTATTAAACTAT